GCTCCCTGGTATGGCAACTGTGCTGGGAGCTGCACCAGCTGAGGTTAAAAAAATGAAATGACATAAATAAAATAGTTATGACAGAAAGTCCCCGTGTTCAATGAAATTATTGGTCATGTCTTACTTAACACGTAATCACGGGGAACAGCTCCAAAGAATATTAAAAAGCATGTTCTGCATTCTCAGGGCTTTTTTCTCTTCTTTAAATAAACATACGGAGGTTCCTTAAATAGTCCTCTCTGCACTAATCATAAGTGCAACAAAAGATATGCAAAGGCTGCAAAACACAACAAAGCATCAGAAAAAATAGATTAAACCCTTGAGGGAATGAGACTTTCTCTCCTGTCCACCAGTGTTCTGGTAGGGCACTGAAGTGCTCTCACCTCACTCAGGAGCTCTCCCCCAAAAGCTGGTGAAACAAAAGGCTTCTGAGGGCTTTCTAAAAGTAACCAGGGCTGCCAAAATAGAGGAGGGGAGGTGGACACTGGGTGTACCCAGCCCGTGCTCCTTCCCCTTCCCCAGCTGAACACAGAAAGGCTCCGGGGTGGGATGGTGTCTCCCACGGGGGATTCTGTCCCCCAGCCACGGCCACACTACAGAGGGAAGAACAGGACACTGAATGACACACAGCCCAAAAATGGGTGTGAACCTCCAAGCTGCAGTTCATGCAACTTATCCAAAAAGGCCACTGAAGTCCCGATGCTTCCTATTTTCCACACTAAATTCCCAGTCTATGTGCTTTCCCTGCCTTTTTCTGGGCTAAATGTCAGCCTCCCTGCCCTTGTCCCAGTTAAATACTGGGTGAGTTGTATAAGGATGTCAAACAGCTCATCCTACTATGTTCTGTAACTGTTTTACTCTCTTTATGTCTCTGCAGAAACCTTTTTTTACAAATTTGCCCATTCTTGCAAAACTAGCATTTGACTCGCTTTTTCAAATGCCTTTTGTTAGAGATTTAAATCCCCTTCTAGTCCTTTTGCTTATTGGGAAAAACTTGCAAACATATCCCAGGCACAGGATAAAGCCAGAATCAGGAAGCAAGCAAAAGAAAGCCCAAATTTCCTTTGCAAACAGCTCATGATTTTTTTATTCAGTCTCATGACTGGGTAGGAACAGGCTGACTCATGGCGTTTGAGGGCCCTGGCTCAGCAATCCTGGGTTTGCTGTCAGAATGCCTGTGTGTGTGTCCTTTGGTCCCCACGCTCCTTCATCTCACCCTTGGCTGATTTGCATCGCTGGGGAAACACATGATTGCAAAAGCTAAAGGAGGAAAAACAGTGAAAAATAACCTGGACCTAAATAACATGACTTGGAGGGGTCTCTCCTCTACTGGCTGGCTGCTGGTCCTGAAGGTCTTCCTTCAAATTCCCAGTCGTAAACATATACTGTGAAAAGGCACCACGAAAATAAATGTGATCTTATTAAAGGGCTGGGCCAGCAAATTTCTGCCCTCGCTTTCCCCCAGTGATGAGTCCCTTTAGGATCACTCTGCAGCAACCAAGGTAAACAGGCCAACAAGTTTTACTGGGATCCAAGTTTTCCCTCCCTTGATTCTCCAGGACTGGAAGTGAGCCTGTAGGTCTCTCCTCTTCCCTTCCTGCCCCAGCCCTGGAAGTGCCCAAGGCCAGGTTGGACAGGGCTTGGAGCAACCTGGGCTAGTGGGAGGTGTCCCTGTCCATGCCAGGGGGTGGAATGAGATGAGCTTTAAGGTCCCTTCCAACCCAAACCATTCTGGGATTCTACAATTGTACATAATGACAAAAATTATTAATAAAATTATCACAGAACGAGAGATAAATTCAGCGAGGACAGGGTAAGAAGAGCAATGTTTGCATTAGCCACGTGTTTTAAGGGAAAAAAGTTCCATTTGAGCCCAGCCTTGAACACCTTAGAAACATCATATTCTCCCTTAGCTCGGGAGGAACTCAGTGAGCACAAATAGGGGATGGTTGTCTTGACAGGAGGCAGGTACATGGAATGAAGAGCTGCAGAAAAATCACATGTGGAGAAAGTGTTAAACGGGAGGTCACAGAAGGTGTTTGGAAAAGGAAGGAGGGACCAACATGCTGATGGGGGGGAAATGGGCACCCGTTCTTAGGAACCAAGGGGATCTGGAAAGAAAATGTGACCCCCAAGGGGCTCATCTGAGGCTCAGTGCCTCCCTACCACCTTGCTCTCAGGGCTGGGGCTTGAAGTCACAAATCCAGCTCAAAACTCTGTTACAGTACTATGTGTAAGAAAATACAACAACCATCTAAGCCCTACTTTGTTGATGTAAAACTACCACCTTAATATCGATCCCAATTTCAGTGCAAACAGCACTGATTGTCAGCAGATTCTAGCAATCCTCAGTAAGGGTGAAGCCCAGACTTCAGAGACAAACGTGATGGTGTAATGGAGTGGAACAGCTTGGAGTGTTATCTTTGTTACAATTCAGAAGTGAACAGAAAGAATTAATGTAAAAACTATAGATTTAAAACTACTCCCTCCAGAGTGGTCATCTATCAGCAGCACAGGTGAATATTTTTTCAATACATACATGTAAAGATCTTTAAAATAAAATAATCATAGCAAGGATTAGGACACCAGGGATAAAATATTGTGATGAAATCTACCGCAGAACAATAACAACTTGCTCTGTCAAACCAGCCAGAGAAGTCAATCCAACTTACAATTTAAAGTAAAATTCAATCCTGTATATTGACACGATATTTATCTCTTATCACACAGACAATTGATCTGCATCTCCTCGTCTAAACTACCATGGCTTTGCTGAAGTCAAAGGTGTAACTGAGAGGACACTGGTTATGGGGAGACCACTTGCAGCCATTCTAACAGGGGTGCTTTTCAAAGCCTTGATAAGGTTTCAGCTCCCACTATCAGAACTAACCACTCTTACACCAACGATATCAATTAAACAAACTTCTTTCTCCCAAGCGTAAAAACACAGGGACTAAAAATAAACCTGTTACAAAATATGCATTTTGTTTATACATATTTACACAGACCTCAGATCTGCATATATGCAGTACCAGAAGGATAAAGCCATCTGATGCAGAAGATCAGCAAAGCAATCTGTAGGCTCTACAGGGGCCAGAAAAGAAACATTTGTACGGTGGCAAACAACATTATGCAAGACACGCGTGTGCTTTAGTTTGAGATGGAGAAACAGTTGCATAAGTTGTGTATCTGGAGAGACTGGCAGCGATCTTGTTCGGCCCTGCACACAAAAGAGAAAATCTCTCCTCTACGTATTTATTAAGATTTCAAAGCTCAGGGCTACATCCTTCCTACTTCAGGATTTAACTGCGTTGGCTTCCCCTCCGCCCCCCTTCCTTTTTTCCTTTTCTTTTTTTTTTTTCTCTCTTTCTTTTTTTTTTTTCTTTTTTTTTTTTTCTCTCTTTCTTTTTTTTCTTTTTTCTTTTTTTTTACATGCCTCCGGAGTTTGATTTTGGAGGCAGCAAGTTGCCCCTTATTTCCCGTGATCTGCTTCTCGCAGCCCTGCCCCTCTTGTTTGCTCAAAGCACATGATGTGTCAGCAAAGTGAGTGTGTGCGCGTGTGGGTTCTTTTTTTCCCTCTCGCCGAGGAGGAACGCGATGGGGGAGGAAAAAGGGTGGAAAACCCTCTCTCTCCCCCCCTTCCCCCGTGCAGCCTGCCGGGAGATGTAGTGCAGCGGCTGCCGCCGCGGAACAAAGGAGCGCGGGGGCCGCAGGAGGGAGACCCTCCCCGGGGCACCTGGGCAGGGCCACTGGCCAAGGGCGACCGGCCCAGGGCATCGTGGCCAGGGGGGACAGGCGGGGAGGGACAGAGGAGCCCGCAGCACAGCTCGGCCCGCAGATCCCCTCGGCTTCATTGTTCCTGGGCTTTGGCCAACTTGGCGGGGATGCCCGGCCCGCACGGGCGGTGGGATGAGCCGGGACAGGAGCCGGTGTCACCCCGCCCGCAGCCGGGGCTCCGGCACCGGGAACCGCGGCTCCTCAGCCCCGGGATGCCGAGCTGCAAAACTTCTGCCCTGCTTTGTGCTTGTGTACGAGGGGGTCTTGAAACGTGAGCAGGAAAAACCCTCCCTTGGATTTGGTATCGTTCAACTTCGCGTCCCACCAGGACAACACGACATTCTTGTCAGCTTCTAACACATTCATTTAAAATATTTCTAAATGAAAAATTGAGGGGGTGTTCTTTCTCCCGTGTTGTTGGTATTTTTAACCTACACCCACTTGCACGATTACCCCCTACACTGCTACTACCACTCATCAGCTCTTTATTTCTCTATTATTTTCTAGATAGAGAAAAAAAAAAAAAAAAGGTGAAGTGATTTCTTCCTTTCAGCCTCCCGAGCAAGCAACTGTGGCGGTAGAAAATGCAAATTCTCGGAAGCCCTCTGGGATTTTTGTTTTAAAAGAAATCAGGTGCTCAGCCTCGTGCTTCTAAAAGGAGAGGGGCACTAGCTTTCGACCACGCAAAGGTTTTTGGCAATGTTTGCCAGGAGTTTTCCTGGTGACTCTTTCCCAGCGATTGCAGCACATGCAAGGCAATAGCCCTGATCTTTCGCTCTCTCCTTCGCCTGGGTAATTACTTTAAGTTCCATCTCCCCTTCCCCCCCGCCGTTAACCTTGGATCCATAGCTCCCGCTGATGCCTCTCCCTCCTTCCCTCCAGTACGTCAGCTGTTACTTTTCATTTCATGGCTCACTGGTGAAACTTGAACTCTTCTTCTCTTTACATGTCCAACCTGTTTCCTTCCCCAGATGCTGTTGATTTTCCTCAAGACCTCCTCCCCTTTTATCACGGCAAAACCGCTGGGTGTGGGTTCTTGCAGGGTGAGGGGAGGAGGAGGAGGAGGAGGAGGAGGAGGAGGAGGAGGAGGAGGAGGGGCAGCCGGCGTGTCCAGGCAGGCGGGGATGCCAGGGAAGCGGCCGGAGGAAGGGGAGGGATGTTCCGGCCTCTCTCCTTGCTGGAGGACGGCCACGGCTCCCAGGACCGGGCTTTATCCTACACCCGGGGCCGGCAAAGTGCGCCCAAGTTCAGCCCCCCCTCCCGCACCGACCCCCCCATCCCGGGGCTCGCTCCGGACTGCCGCGACTCAAAGAAAGCCGAGAAAAGCAGGCTCCACCTCCTCCAGGTCCGCAGGAATATCGCACACCGCCCACCCCTCCATCCCCGGGGCTCCGCCGGGATCGGCCGGGGACCGCTCGGGCAGGACCGCGGGGACACGGCGGGGGCTGGGCGGGGGGAGGCTCTGTAGTTCTTTTTTTTTTTCTTTTAATAGCCGAAGCAGCAACCGGCAGGGACCGCATGAAAGGACTGATCAGCAGGCACTCCTCGTCGCCGTGTCAGGTGGGGGAAGGGAGGCACATCCGACTGATTTAGTGACTGGCTGGGGAAAACCGGCTTTGACTGGGGAAAGGGTCTCCTCGGGGGGCAGGGAGAGAGGGGAAGGGTTAAGGAAGGAGCATCTGCCGAGCTGAGCAGGCAGCCCCGGGAAGGCGGCTGTGCCCGGTGCTCCCCGAACTGCACAAGCATCCCCGAGACCCCTCTGCCACCACTGGGACCGGGGGGTCCTGCTCGGAAGGAGCCGGGAGGATTCGCGCTGACTCTGCCCCCAGAGCTCCCAGCAGGCAGCCTGGGGGGGTGGGACCACCTCCCGCTCCCGTCCCAGGACTGCCCGGTTTTTACGTGAATTACAGACTTCGTAGTCAAAACGAGATTGAGATTAGGGTTGCACAGTTTCACACACACTCTAAAAATCACTGCTGTCGTTTGAAATGCGTTCTTAGGTACTTTTGCTGCTGCTAACCTGCCTGCAGGGCAACAGAGCTGGGGAAGGGTCTGGAAAGTGAGTCCTATGAGAAGTGGCTGAGGGAGCTGGGGGGGCTCAACCTGGAGAAAAGGAGGTTTAGGGGGGACCTTCTCACTCTCTACAGCCCCCTGACAGGAGGGGGGAGCCGGGGGGGGGAGAGGGGAGTCAGGCTCTGCTCCCAGGGAACAAGGGACAGGACAACAAGAAATGGCCTCAAGTTGCACCAGGAGATGTTCATAGGGAAGTGGACTTCGGTAGTTCTACCATCCACAGTTTGTTCAAAGACAGACTCCAGACATCTGCCTGAAGGGGACACTTCCAAATTGAAGTCTAAAAGGTCCCTAATGCTGCCTGAGGCACCCTGGATTTAAGCAGGAGTGGGATTTAAGAACAGCCTTTCTACTCAGAGCTTCCTGTGAACCTTCAGCAGGTTCTGCTGTGCTTGTTGACTCTGGCTGAGTTGATTCAGAAGCTCCATAGCTCTTCCGATGCCTTTGTAACCCAGTATTGCACCTAAAAGGCTGCAAACTCCCCTCTTTACTGGGCCCAGGGCAATGAGGGATGGCCACGCTGCAGAGAGCCCCCTCCACCAAAGAGGTGCTGCTGGGAGTGACGTGCTCTGCTTTTTCTCCTGCTTCCCTGCACACCCCCTGTTCCCCACCACCACCTTCCCTGCAGCACCAGCACTCCCAGTTATGTGTCTGGCCAGGTCAGAAACTCATCCAGCCAACCACCACCCCCTCAGAAAAATAAATTGCTTCTCAAAGCAGAGTTTCCCCCACACATTCCCATGCCTTTGAAATGCCCGACATTAACATTAGCCTTGGAAAGGTGGTCATCTGGGGAGTCACCAGCCACAGGAAGAAATTACCCATTACATTGAAGACAACATTTCCCTTGCTAGCATTAAAAGAATTTCAATCTCTGCCTTGTTGGTTCCTTTTATCCAGATGTGTAAAGTCTCACATTTCCACACGCCAAGGTGCTGCTGAGTGTAATGTGTATTAGCAACCTACAGTACTTCATTATACCTTGTTCTAATTCTGTACCACCCTTAAGATACAGCTGTACTTTCGTGACAAAAATAAGAATTTCTGAACACAGTGTTCAGTACACACAGCTACAGCCTTCCAAACAGTGACAGCAAGTGCAACCTTTTAGCAGAAATAAGTGATAAGAAAAACAGACTCCTCAGGATTATAACTTAGAGTTAAGAAAAAACTAGCAAGCTTGAATCCACTTGTCAAGTGGGTCCAATAAAGAGTCTCTGACATCTTTAAAAGGGGCAGAAAACCATCCTTTGCCTGGTAGACAAACTCCCTGCATGCTGTGGAAGTAAGTGTGTATATGATAGATCTAATAATAGGTAGCTGTCATGGTGATGGGTGCCCAGAATAACTAGTTACCCCTCTGCCTCTCTCCCTGCTTTCCTCTCAAATCTCCCACTTACTGAGCCCATACACCCCCCCAGCCCCTCCTGGACCACCCTGTTTGCACAGCTGGATCCTAAAGGGAGCTGGACTGGCTCGACTGCCGAAATGAGCTGGGCACAAGCTGCCCGTGCAGAGACAAATCACAGTGGCACAGCAGCACAGGCAGCCAGAGCTGCTCCACTCCAGGAGCCCGGGTCAGGCTGACCAGCCCAGCCTCTCACTGCTGGGAGGGCAGCAGAGGGAACACGTGCTCTGCAAACAGGGCTGGGGAGACAAGGGAGCAGAGTGGGAGCTTTCCTCCAGCAACCCTAGGAAAACCTCTTCCCTGTGCCAAGACACACTTCAGTGTAATCTTTGCATTTTCCTACAAAATCACCCAACTCCTACTTCTCTCTCTCTCTCTTTTAAGGACATCAGTATTTTTCAGTCATAAAAGAGTCTTTGTAATGTACTCATTTTGTGAGTCCTTTTGTTACCTCCATATAATTCTCCCAGACAATTATTATCACAGCCATTGTTACACAATCCAGTTAAAGTAGTTCTTCTGCGCCTCCGTCTCTTTCTCCTGCTACAAAATGAAATGTTTGAATGAAGAGTTACATTCCTCAAGATAATGAGCTCTCCAAAAGGAAGGTAATGGAAAGTACATATTAATTAACAATGCTAAATTGTGGGATGGTATTTATATCGCATTGAGAGATTAGGAATGGAGGGGGAAAAAAAAAAAGAGTTTAGTTTATTTTCTCTGACGCAGGCCATCTTATTAAAATAAAATAAAAATAGGGAAAAAAAGAACCCCCCAAAGCAGGGATACACTAACCCTTTCTCCTATTCTTTTTCTCTGCAGAAATGAGTGAGCATTTCCTGTCAGTTGACAACTCCCCCGAGGACGCTGCGTCACTGACCACCAACAAGTGAGAAAATCTCAAATCCTCTCCTCGGGAGCATCATAATCTCCTTCCAAGGACGTTTTACTTCGCTTTCTGCATCGCTGGAACAGGCAGGAGAATTACACAAGCTCTCCCTCTGCCTAGGTTTGAGACAACACTGTCCCCTGCGGTTGAACTGGCAGGGACAGGAGGCAGAGGCTCCCTCCACGTTCGGGCTGGCCCATCTCCGCTTTTTGAACGTGGAGAAACTTCACTACTAAAGTTATCTCAGTCTGGGACATACCTTCAGATGTTTATTTTTCTTCAGATTTTGCTTTCTTCATTAAGTTTAAGCAAGCAGCTGGGTTAAAATGTAACTCTGGCAAGAAAAGACTTTAAAAGCTTTAATGTCTTCCCCACTTAAACTCGGACATTTCTCAGCCAGAAAAGTTTTCAGAAATCGCAAAGAAGAAACAAATGACTCCAAGGCCTTACCCATTTAATCATATGCAAAGTTAAATCTCCCTGCAAAAAATCGCTGAAAATCATTGACAGGAGGTGACTGGCAGGGAAAACACACACCTGAAGACCAGAGTGGAATTACGACTTTGACTGTGTCATCCAAAAAGCCCCTCAGATAAAAGGAGAACAGGATCATGTGCAACTTTGTCCCCCTGGCACTTGCATGGACCAGCTGACAGCTGGTGCCACTATGAGGAGGAGATGTCTCACTCCTGGGTGAGGTGATGGTGTGACCAGACAGACCATGTGGAGACCATGCACCACAGTTTTGGTGCAAACGATAAACCAGGGATAGAACATTCCCATTTTTACCACTATTATCTCCAAGTTAGTTGCAGCACATCGACTTAAAATAAGTCCAATAGTAAATGAGCAGTAGCTCAAATACTGAAAAGTGATCCTAAATCTAATGCAATATGGTAGAATATACCAGTGGTTTTTAATATATATGCCTTTTAACCTGAATTCCTCCAAACAAGGCCTCTTTCTAGAGACAGTGAGTAAAATAGATACAAAGGCAAATGGTAAGAGCCTGTCATTGATCATCTTGATTTTGTTTTCTTTGCTGCCCTGGAACAAGTGCCCCCTGTGAAAGACATCCACCCTGCAAGTCAGTTTTGAAAACAAACTCACTGCTTTGCTCTAGAGAGACAAACTTTGCACACTGCCTTGTGTTTAACTCAAATATATTAACCTCCAAGGGGCAACAGTCTGGCAGAACTTCCTTGTGTGATGGATCCCAAATCTTGGCAGGAAGAGTGGAGAAGTGTAAGAATGGTGTGGGAAGTCCTGTATACCTGTATTTCTGTGGTGGGAGCTGGGACCATTTACTCATTTCATACAAACAATCCTGTTGGCTTCATGGAGAAACCAGAAGGGTTCCATCAGTGATGTGTGATTCCCCTGGCAGTGCTGGAAAGAAAGAAAAAGGGCTTGATGGTTGCCCTCAGAGCAGTAAAAAAAGTGTGGTGCCATCGTGCAACTTATTTTAGCTTTCCATCCAACAGGAATTCGATCAGAATCTGTCACACTGTATCAGATCTAATAAGCTCCAGACAGTGCTAACATTTGTACTGATTATTCTTTATAATTTTTTTTTATTAAGTTACCAGCCAAGAAAACAGTTCCTCCGTTGAAGAAATTGCCCAAAATTGTTTGCACTGATTGCTCCATCTTTTAAACTTCTTTCTCAGCAGTGGTACAAAGTTACTATTTTCGCCTGGGTGAAGTATTTTCCCTGCTTGTGCAGTGTTATAACCTTAACTGCTTTCCTTGTGTTCTAAGGCATCATTCCTGAGCCTTGCTCCGTTGCCTGAATGCCAAAGCAGAAGTGCTTCCCCATGTCCTTGACTCAGCTGATTTCAAAGACTTCATCTGTTTTCTCTGACATAGCCTAGAACTGCAAATTTTAACAGGGGACCAGCTTTGACTTGTTATTGGACATATTATAAGTGTTGATATTTTTAGCAGAAAACACATGTTCTATTTCCTTAAATGAACTTTTGCCTGTGAGACTCTTTTTCTAAGTGCAGGAGTTATCTCACCAGTGGGAATCAACACCCCCGGACTTACAGCTTACCTAAACACGGAAATATAATCGCAAATAACTAAGGGAAAATATTTTAGGATGATACCACAACAGTAAATAGGGTAAGTCAATTTTATTTTGCATTTGACACAGGAAAATACAACTCGGTCAATTATCACATCTCAGCTGAGGGGAGGTAAATTTCTAAGACACTTGAATTCAAATGCTGAGGACCAGCTGACCACAGCAAACTGATTTTATTTTGTCTTTTTAGCATGACAGATAAAAAAACCAATCAGGTAAAAATTACTTTGTGTTCCCACAAATGGGCACTTGCTGTTCATCAAACTGTGTTTTCACAAAGAAAAACCCAAACTGCACAGAACTGAATGATGTATTTTGGGTGGCAAACTAAATATTTAACTCAACCTGAAATATTCTGGTTTTCTGTCCCGTGCTTAACAGCAGTTTTAAAGTGAAGCACAAGGTGATAACTTCAGCAGTTCAAGAGATCTAGATTTTCCTACTTTTTCAGCCAAAACCTCACTTTTCAACGAGTAAACTCTGTGTTTCAAATTTATACTGGTTCCACTGCTGAGAGAGCTTCAATAAAACATCATTTTTCTGTGCAAACACTTTACCTCATTTATAATCAAAGGAACACGGGCCTGAGCCGTCAGTCAAACTTAAAAGGGCCATTTGTGATCATATCAGAGAGACCACATGGGAAGATTTTGTACTTCTGGTAACAAAGGCCTCAAAGCACAACTTTGCCTTGTGAACGGGAACTTTTAGGGTGGAATTTGGGATACACAGTCTCGGGTGTGTCCATCACAAGTGCTTGGTTTCAGGTACAATAACCCTGGCTCCCAGCTAATGTAACTAAACAGAAATTATAAAGCCCACCAACAGTTTTTGCTGTTTGCTTGCCTACTTCCTCAAGGGTGTTTTTGTAGGGCTTTCAGGTGGCATTCCCCGTGGGAAAAATGGGGATCAGTCTCACACCATGTCAGGGGGACGTGCAGCACAGCTGGTGACTCCTCACAGAACTGAACAAGAGAGTTGGAGAGCATCGTGAATACAACAAATCCCCCCGGGAGCAGAGTCTGGAGAGCAGCTCCAGGAGAGCAGGGAAGGGCCTGAGCCAGCCCCCGTGGGATCCACTGCCAGAACTCCAAGGGATGCCAACAGTGCTGGACTCCAAGGAGAGCAGTGACTCAGAGCACTCACTGCTTCATGAAAACATTTCCCCCATCAGCACTTTCACAGCCCATTTGCTTTGCCTTTTGGGGTGGGTTTTTTCCCATCTTCTTCTCTTTCATGTAATTTTTGGAGTTTTTCCTACTTCAGCTGAATGGTACAAAGAGCTGAGGTTGCTTTTTTCTTTTCCTTCCTTGCAAAAGAGTTTAAATATTGCAGGGCAGGAGCCAATTGGAGCAGAGGGGCAACCACAGCCAGTCTAATGAGAGGCATTCACACCTTTCCCATCTCATTAAAGGGACAGCAAATCCCTGTGCTCTGGCTGTCTGTTAAAGGTGCCAGAGCACCAGGCTCTCAGTGGGAGCTACACAAATTAAATACAGAGATACCTGCAAGGAAAAACAACCAATCTCCATGCATTGGTAGCATCACAGTCCCTGGAAGAGCCACAGCAATTCCACTTTGGGGCAATCCCAGTTGTTCTTGCCTTCCCCTTTCCCCCTTTATTTTGTGTGGGAAACTGTACTCAGCTGGATTTCACGGCTGGTGCCCTCCTGCTCCAGGGAAGTTTGTGGCAGCACTGCCACCCTCCCATGTTCCTGCAGAGCTTAGGAATGACACAGACGTGCTCTGTCCTTGCAGTTGGCCCTCATACTGCTGTCACACAGAGATTACAGGCAAGTGGCAATTAACCCACTCCTCGATTTGATAAATGCACAATAAAACTTCTTCACCTCCCCGTGCTGCTGGCAAAACAGGCAGTGAAGTTGTGTGAGAATCCTCTGGGCAACTTCTGTTCATAAAATGTTGGTATCAAAATCCCAGCTTGTCACAGCCGAGCAGGAGTTGCAGTGAAGGGAAAGGCTTCTCAATCCCACAAGGAAATCCTGGGAAGGCTCTGTCAAAGTCAACAGTCCAGCACACCTCTCACCAGTGAAGGAGGAGCAGCACAGCCAAGATGAACTCCAGACTCCCTTTTTCCAGGGATCACTGGTGACATCTTGCAGGGAAGCATCATCCAGCCCCCTTGCCTTTGCTCTTGCCTCCTGCTTCCAATTCCCCCCAGCTTTGAGGGAAGAGGAGTTTTTCCTCAGGCACACAAAGCCCAGACACTGTTTAAGTGAAAGATAAGAGATAAGACCAGAAAAGCCAAAAGACTATCAGGAGAAAAAAAAACCCATCCTGGTACTTAAGAGAGGTGGGGGGGAATGTTCTGGAGCTGTAGCTGGCTAGGAGAGGACTTGGAGCTGTGGCCAAGGGTGCAGATTGCTCATAACCTCCTGTTGTTCCTGATGTAGTCAAGGAAAATGGTTACACAATTATGTGTGGTGTGTATTTGGGCTGAGATGGGCCAGGTGGGCCCCAGGAGGTGCTGCTGGGATCTGTGCACAGAAGGGCTCTTTTTCCACCCTGGCCCCCTCTGGCACAGTGACTTTAGGGCAGGGACAACAGGGACTCCTGAATGGCTTGTGCTGTGTTTGGTCCTCGGGAGGGATGGAGAGGTCATCTCCTTATCCTCAGCTTTCCCTCAGCTCCCAGACACCCAAAATTATTGGTGTTATTACAAACCACATACTCTTCACATCCCTGTAAAGCTGCAACATCCTCTCCTGTGTGGACTCCTCTCTGTTGACTTTATGTGTGTGCCCCTTAAGTGACTTTTTATTCTGCCTGCTCTTAGTTCTTCTCTAACCCTAATTTCTTTGTCTCTCTTCCCCCCTCATTACTTCTGTGTTCCAGGACTTCTGTGCAGTTCTAAATTTGCCTGTGCCCAGGCTGTTGAAGCAGAGTATTTTTAAGGTGTTAAAATCATTTGAGTTCATTATTAGAAATGTAAGGGAAAATAATCAAGAGAAGTTTACCAGCTGCTCGTACTTCTGGTCCTTCCAAAGAATTTCTATTAAAACCAACATACACTTGGCAGGTTATTTTATCTAAAATGTCTAATAGCATTTAGTAGTTTGAAAGTGTCTTTCTACAGCAAATGGATAGCAAATGCACATGTGCAAGTAAGTTTTGCACCTATTTTTGTAACTACTATTTTTGTGCCTAAGGAGATATTTACAGGAATAATTCTGTGGCTCCGAAGCCACTAATAAGCCACATATATTTATACAGGGACGTGGTTTCGTGCCTGGGTGGAGCGTACTTGCAAATATATACAAAAACTTGGGACAGAGCAGAACTGTCTCCCAGTGACAATTTCCCCTTCTTTAAAAAGAAAGGTATCATTAAACATCCCATCAGTGGGAGCTGGAGTCAGTGTTCTCCCCTAGATCTCTTCAGTCCTTGGCACTGGGCAGCAACAGCCCAAAAAACTAGTTTTGCTCCTCTGAGAGGAGCCCAGTGACTGGAGGTAGAGGGGAGGGAGGAGAAGATGGGACAGGTGACCAGCAAAGTCACTGCAGGCACCAGCACGTGTCACCCTCACACCTCAGACCTGGGCTGAACACAAGGCATGTTCTGCACCCATAAATTTTATTTAACCTTTCCATATCCTTATTTTGGAGAGGAGCTGGCTTCTCACACCCCAAGGAAGCCCTTGAAGCAGTGCAGACCTTTGACTCACTCTGTCACACTGTTGTGGGTTTTTTTCCTTCAATTTGGGCCCATTTTTAATAAGGTCTGCAATCCAAATCCTGAAGTGTCTCTACAATAAAAACACCACTGATCCTACCAGGATCAGACTGCAAAACTAATACTTTCAGGTGCTTTTCCAAGTAGAATAGACAAGCCAAACCTCTGAAGCCATGTGGGATCCCTTATTGACCCAAATACATGACACGGATGAACAAACACTCCCCTTCATTTAGGCTTTGCATGGCACATGTAAACACAATTGCCACTGCCAAGGCTTCTGAAATAGCACCTTAATAGCTCTGAAAAAGTCAGCTTTTCTATTCTGTGGGTTTTTTCCCAGTTCATTACGGCCTCAGCACTGCCAGGACTTAAGCAGGTGCATTATTTTAATTCATTATTTGTGCATTATTTTAATTCGTTTGACCTCAATGAGGCTGTTCACACATGTAAAGTTATGCACAAGCTTAAATCTTTGCAGAATCGGGATTTGTGGGCTTAATGTAAATCCTGCTGAAGATTTCAGTCAGGTTTGGCTCTTTCCCTGCAAGAGAGCTGCCTTTCCAGCAAAACACATCACACCCAAGGTGGGAGGGCCTGGCTGGGGACTCAGCTACCCTGGGGTCAGTTCCTTTTGCAGACCTCAGAGAAGGCTTGGGATCAGCATATCTGTGGGAATGTCTGAGTTATTCCTTTGCCCAGGCACTCCAGAAAGGCCATGCACACACATAAGAAACAGATGAAAAATCCAGTGATTGGATCAAGCAGCAAATAACAGCTCAGCACCAGCAGGTGTGACAGGGCTCACAGGCAGGGACAGCCAAAGCAGAGCTTCCAAAGGTACCTGCAACACCCTTTGGAGGTACAAAGGAAAGTTCCCATTAACCTGGGAAAGTCCCCACTGAGAAATCACCCCAAATCAGGGGTGTTACACAGTAAGGCACTTAGGACGAGATTTAAAGGTTTTGGAAGCCAACACAAGAACTCCAATTTATTTGAATATATTTGGATCAGGCCCTAGGCACAACGGGGAAAGATCCTTTAAGAGAAGTGGAGAATTCATAGGTGGAATCTGACCTTAGAATATTTAGGAGGATATTCACATCTCCTCAGCAACTCCTTATGTTTCCCATAAGGCATCCAGACTTTCACCAGCACTGAAGGCAATAAAGACACAGTGTATTCTATAAAACCTTATGTTTGCAAATGCTCAAATCTTTACCAAAACCCTGCCTTTTACTGTCTAACATAAAAGGCATGGCCTGTAGCCCACAGCTGAATTTTGGTTGCTTTTAAAGAAACATCACTGCATTATTAAATACTAAAGCATGAACTTTAGTTTTTTTAATTGTTGTGATCTTCCCCCCTTCCTCTTGCTCCTGCAAAAATACAGTCCTGAAAAGATGGCATTCATTGGATCGCAAAGATGATATGAATGCTGTTTTGAAACAGAGAATTCTACAGAATCTGTCATTATTAAAAAATGCAAGAGAGCCAGCATTCTAGAAAAGGAGTGCAGACAGAAGCACACACAGCTGGCTCAGGGAAGCTCATGCATTTATATTAAGACACTTCAATAACATTAAGCACTTTGCACAAATCTAAATTTTGATTGTGTGAGTTCTTCAAAAGGCACTATTGTCCACAAAATAACTTGTTGACCCATAACAAGGCCTTTATGGCTGCTGGATCACTTAGACCAAGCCATCTTGAAAGGGTCTCTACTGTATAATCCCATTAGTTAAAGACTTGACATCTGATTTCTTTAGGTGCCTTCGTGCTTTAACTCCTTTTAAGCATTATGAAAAATCCATCTGCTTATTAAAGCAACAACTTAAAATGAGCAGTTACACTGAAAGTGGGGAAATGTGGCCTGATGAGTCTGTTAGTGCTGCTTGTTTTACATGGGGTTGGCAAAGGGAAGGAGGGATCACCCAGATAATCTTTTCTACTCCAGCCAACAGGGTAAATTACCTTTTGTGACCCCGTACCCTCTCTTGTGCTTCTGCTCTTCAAAAGAAACAAGCAAAGAGAAAACCATGAAGGCAACAGGAAGAAACTGCCCAGACTGTGCTTTTCTTAAGAGAAGATGGATTATTCAATGGCACACACACCACTTGCCCCCCTCACTCCCTGC